GTTCCCTCTTTCCCCTCCACTTGGGGGCTAACATCTCGTATCAAAACCTAAAACTATAAATTAAATTGGGGGCTTTAGCCCGTCACTCTAAAGTCCTTTAATTCTACACGCTTGAAAAGTTTACTTCCCTAAGTATTTGCACTCAACCCCATGAACTACATTCTCATTCATGAAATCAATATGTGATTCTAACCATTTGTTGACTGAGATAATACCATCTCAGATCTTACATGTTCTCACAACATATATTAACATCTTAATTGGTCAAATCAAGAAGTAAATGAAGTGCAATGTTTCAAATCATCACAACTTCTTCAAAAATTGAAGCCTGATACTGCACACAACTTTCTTTGAACACTTAATCACTTATCATTTTAAGAAAAAAGATAAAGAAAACTACTTAGAATCCATGGAGCAAACAAAACCACACTTTAGTTTAAAAGAAGAAATCATTGTCAAACCAACAACAAGTCTCGATTAAAACCAAAAGTAGTCTAAAATAAAAAGAACACTTATCTCAAATCCTCTCCACCAAATGTCTTGAATTTCCTTTGAATTCTCTTCCTTCACACACAATACAAACTAAATACTCAAAATAAAAAAAAGCAAAGTGGCCGGCGACGGTGGTGACTTAGATGGATGATGGTTATAAATTTAATAGGTGGCTGGCCTCCTCTCTTGGAAAATCTAAGTCTTTTCTTATAAAAATCCAAGGGATGCCTTGGTGTCTCTTTAAGAAGGTGTCTCCATTCAATGAATCTTCTAGAAGTTGCCTCCTCAAAAGCCAATGGAATGAATTTTCGTGCCCATGGACTATTTCCCACGTTTTAACAAAGGTTGCTTCAAACAGCTCTTCATAAATCCGTTCAAATTAAATAATTTATCTCATAACTACTTCTGGCGCTTAAGCGAGGGTATCTGGCGCTTAGGCGCCAAAGCTCTGACGCTTATGCATCAATTCTGGGAGCTTAGGCGCCCCAGTTCATTTTTGCATATTTCTTCATTTTTTTTCCAAATTTGACCCTTTTTCACTCCTTTTAGCATTTTTCATCCATTTGATTGTACCTGAAAGAAAAACACACAAATACCTTTCATTAAAGTGCAATATCTCAAAAATAAGTATAAAAATGTGTATAAAAATACTATATATTTTAGGTGTATCAATGAATAATTACTAATAGCCTAGAGATAAATAGACCTCAACAATATGGAGATGAATGCACAATATTAATCTAGAGATAAATAAGCACCATCAACCTGATAAAAAAGTCTTTATCCAAAACTAATTTTTCCACAATTTTTTTATATTCTATACTCAATTTTTGCGTTTTTGTAATTGAATGAAGTGTCTATGAGTAAATTTAGCTAATTTAAAATTTTAACTGTTCACATTTCATTTGATAAGTGAATTTCTAAAATATCCAAAATTATGTTTGAGATTTTTTCAATGACTTACTATATATTTTTGGATGATATAAGCATTGATGTCAAAAATAAGGGTGCAATTGATATGTCACCAAAAAAATTATATGAACATGTAGGAATCACAATTTATTTTCAGTAAGAGATCTTCCAAGTTTGAATTCAAGATCACTTAAGCAATGTTTTCTACAAATTTAAAATTAAAATGAACGCTCATATAATATAAGCTTAATGACACTGAAATGATCTATTACAAGATCAACATGTAAAGTGTTATCATAGGCATTAATACATTAATTGGAGGGTCAAACAATATCTAAATTTGGTATGCTTATAGTCAAAATGTGCGACTCGATGAGAGCAATCAATTGAGCCCAAAACATTTAATTTTGAGGTTATTAAAGAACTTAAAAGTTTAAAAAAACACATTGTGATTAAGGGAATCAAAATAAGCAATTTGATGGAGTGTTTTGGGGGGTTAGCCAAGTATATTAAAATAACCCATTCAAAAATTATAATCATGCTCCCATTCTTCACATGAAAGAGGAAAGGAGAAAAGAAAAGTGACCTCACAATTCAACATAAGTTGTGATGAGAAGTGGAGGTGAATGACCACCAGACGTTGTTCGCCATCCCTAATGATTATTACAGTCAATTATAATTATATTAGCCACCAACTATAGATTTAGTAGTCACGTCTGTTATAGTCACCAACAACATTAGTTGTAGTCAATTATGATTGTTATATATCCAAACTTCTACTATAGAGCAATGAGTGTCAATTTTTATAATCTTATATTCCCCAAATTAAGAGAATAGTCGATATCTATACATTTAATCATATAGTTGATTATTTTAACCAGGCTAGACAACTTGATTTTTCTCCCCCTTTAGAACTTTTCCATGAAAAAAAAATATGTTTTCTTTTATATTTCTTTTTATGTGTGCTGAAAAATTGTAATAAGCTAAGATTATAGATTTTTTAACCACAATAAGTTTTCAAGTATGCAACAAGCTCCAAATAAAAATCATATACTAAAATTTCAAAAACATTTATGAGCTAATCAATTTATTGAAAAAATGAATGTAATGTAATTGAAATGTTCTGTATTTGAAATATTTTAGAGTTGTTTTGTTCAATATAAGAGAAATACAAGAATTTATATTTTTAAATTTGATTTGAATTACAAAAAATAATGAAAAATATGGTTAGTGGTGACAGTTGACAAGTAATGATAGTCGCCTCCAGTTGTGGTAATGAGGGCTATAATTTACAATGTATTTGAAAATCATCCAAATCTGATGAATTCCAAGTACACAAATTTTGAACTATATACTCAATTCAAAATTCACCAGCATTTTATATTGCATGCCATTTTCTTCCAACCAAACATTAAAGTTATGAAAATCTCTGCATTTTGTTTACTTTATAAATATACCAAACAAAAAAAAAACCCTTAATGCAACTCTTAACCATAATTAAAAAGCTAGCATCTCAAAGACTTTCAAACCCTGTATCACTTTCAATAGATTTTCTTATACCTTTCATGTGAAATAAGATTATTCATGTTCATATTCCATGTATGGTTCAATATTACTTTCTATAAATTTACAAGTACAACTATAAAAACTCTCACTTTCATAACTTTCATGTTATTATTTACTTATTATCTCAAGTCGTGTCATATATACTTCTAGTAGTAGGATTATTTTAATTGCATGTCATGCCCATAGCTTTTCAACGCCACTTTATCCATTGATTATAGATTTTTTCATCAATATTCACTACCTCTTTGAAGATGTCATCTTAATTCACCTCCATAAGCATAATGCATTTCCTCACTTATTTCCTTGAAGTGGTATCATTTTAACTTTAATTAAATATTTTTTCAATTGCCCTCAATCATCTTCATAACCTTTATGTATCACTTATAAGTAAGGAGGAATGTACTGATCACCCTCAATTGCCTTCCATTAACACTTTGTTCATCGCCTTTATTTGTCACATTTGCCTCTCAGAAAAGGCCTTTCTAGGTATCCACCTTACTAAGCTAACAAAGACTAGACACATTTTCAACTTCAATTAGGCCCCATTTGAGGAAAAATTATTGCATCAGATGTCCAATAACAGGGTGTCACGTGGCAACCCGGACTTGAACCTTGTATGTCATTAGACCCAAATTGTTACATGACCCATTGTTATTAGACACTTGAAGCAAATTTGCATCAGGTGTCCTGATGCAATAATTTCTCCCATTTGAGAGCGCTTTATCATTGAGGAAAGTTTTTTTAAAAGTAACTTCCCAAAAAACTTTATTATAAAGTTACCTTTGATTGAATAAAATCCTATTTGAATATAAAATTTTCTACCAGCTTTTCAACACTATAAATTTAAATAATAGACTAATATGCCCCTATGGTAGTGTCGGAAGGCATGCCTTTCTTTTTCTACTTTTATATAATAAAACTTCTCCATCTAGCAGAAAGTGGTCCCCACTTCATGCTTTCTTTTTCTCTTAATTATTTTTTATTTGCTTATTTAAGTGGAATTTGAGGAGCTCGAGGAGGTTAAGAAGCTTGGAGAAGAAAGATGATGGAAGCCCACAACATCGCTTTGTGCCCCTCTCATGGAGGTAGAGGCTAAGAAGGAGCTTTAAACTTGGCCGAACTAGAAGTTTTGGGAAGCGCGGGAGCTTCTCCAGGAGGCAAAGGCTGCGGAGACTATTTTGGACCTTTCTGTCTTCTAAAAGATGGAACACGGGCGGTAGGTCAGAAGCAATGGATTTATTGCGTTCTGAAATGACCATAAAATACCCTTACAATTGACGCGTCGTAAAAAAGAAAAGTTACACCGAACACACAGGAAAACATTTTTCACCATTCTATGCAATGTAACAGAGGCGTAACTCGTTCTCAAACGAAGCCTTAGTATTGACATTTTCTCCAAGTTTAGGATGGAAACCACACAAAACTCATACATCTATTATCAGAACTACCAATTTCATTCAAAGTGAATCTCATAAGTTTTGTAAGGATTTTTCACATACAAATGTACCTCAATTTTATTTTATTTACTTACATGTTAGTGTTTGTTTGTTGATTTATGCCATTGATGTTCCTTTTTTATGGACTATAATATTTCAACTGTTTGTCTAAAAAATGATACTGCCCAATTTTATACGACCTTTATAAAAATAAATAATTCAGCTGTTTAATACACAAAGGATTTATACAGATCCAACAGGTGATATTTTGCAAGCCCAGGCCCACCTCCTCATCTCAGCCCTGCGGCTGCAATCCCATCGCCCTTGAAGCTTATCCAGCTTACTATTTCCTCAACCATCCCTCATTAACAGGAAGTTCAACAAGATTGGAAAATATGAATGTTCATATCATAAAATTTTAAATTTATATTTTATAATTTCTCAAATCCTATCTTTTTAATATTTCTTTTTGTAAGAAAAATGTGGAACATATTAAAAATTTAAACTTTTTAAGAGAATTGAAACAAATTAATTACAGCAAATATTATTAATAATTAAATGAAAAAAAAAGGTGCAAAGCTTTTTCTGAAACCTGAACAAATTGGAAGAACTAAGGGCACGGCATTTTCTCCTCTTTCCTCTCTCTCTCTCTCTCTCTCTCTTGTTAATAGTTCTTAATTCCTATAAAACCTTTTGTTTGATTTTTCTTTTTTCGTTGGGAAAGATCTTCGCTCCTCTTCTTCTACCATGGAAGGTAAGGAATTTCTGCTCCCGCATTTGGGTTTCTCAAGTAATATTTGGGATCATCGGTTTTGATGGCAAGCAATGTTTTTTATCTTTTTGTTTTCCATTTCAATTGTTTCCCTGGTTTTCATTGTCTATGAACTGAGCTTTCGGATCGTAAATTTGTAAGGCGATTGGTTGTTTTCAGTTCCCGCATTATTTTGATTGGAATTTATGGGCTTCGCTTGAAACGCTATCGAAATTTGTGACCTAGAAACTCTTCATTGATTCCTGCTACGCTGCTCTATTTGGGAAATGAAGTGGGAGCTCTTGGACAAATATCATCATTTTTTATATTGGCGATACTGTTTTTGATGTGATAATTCTGAGGAAAATGATATACTGGAAATTGGAAAAGTTGTGAGAATCATTCCCACAAGAAATTACTTTCTTTGCCCATTATAGAACATTACCCCCTCTTCTATTAGAGAAATAAGCTTATTTGTTTGTTTATTTGATTCATATGATAATGGATATATGAATTATAATCATCATAACATTTTTTTGGGAATTCCAAACGATTTATTACTCAAATGTAGTACACTTTTTATGGGTATCCTTTTTTTTTTCTAATAGGATTCCTAGTTGTTCCAATGGGATTTCAAAGACCATTTATTGATGCAATTAAAAGCAAAAAAAGAAGGCTTTAAAGAGAGCCTCCTATGACAGGTTGGTCATCTTTGATGAGATGTCCCATTTTCTTGTATTGATTGCAATGCCATAAGTTTGGTCATATACTTATGTTTGGTTCTATAATATATGTCCTTGACTCTTGAGTTTATGTCATCTAATTATTGTGTGAGGCTACTAATAATATCTCTTATTATTGTGATTATTATTATTATATTGATTTGTATGCATTGTAAAGTTTAGGTTCCACAACTTTGGATGTAATTGTTACTATTCAATAGGTTGCTAGCAAAATGAGGTATGCTAGCTTCATTTCTTCTTCTTTTAACTTGAGCTTCTATAGTAAGAGATTTTTAGATAGAAGATAGTGTTTATTGTTAACCTAAGGCCTTTTTTTTGTAGATTTGGAAATATTATATATTATGTGATGCAGTGTTGGATGCTTATGTTTGTGTATGAGTGTTGTGTCTTATTGGTATGTGTAATCATTTTTATTCAGTTATTTTATGTAATTTTGTATAGGTTCCTTCAAGTAGCTTTCAGTCAAAGACAACACTATTTGGTAATCATTTTTTCAAGAAAACTACTTGAATGTGTAATCATTTTTTCAACACTTGAATGTGTAATAACTATTTGACTGAAAACTACTTAAATGTGTAATCATTTTTTCAACACCTTTAGATCATTTTCATTTATTTGTTTTCATCCAATAATAGAGGGCTTTTAGTTCGACTATCACCTAGGAAGATTTACACTTAAAAACTTTGATTTAAAGAGACTCTAGAGATCTAAATAACTCTTAGGTTTTAATGTTTAACAACATTTAGAATTTCAATGTTTGACTAATGACATCATTAGATTACTATCACCATCGATGCCAACGTCCAACACCATCAAGCTACCACTACTTCAATCCATCATCAAATTGTTATTAATCGACCGTCACCAGCACTGCTATTTGGTAATACTTTAAGACTGCAAATATCATCATATTTTCTTCATCAAGCTACCATCATTTGGCCATCATCTTTTAATAAAATTCAACCATTGATGCTCATTGATCTAGTCACACGTCAACATTAATGTCAATTCTCAACAACATCATCATTTATCTTCATCCTTGCAGATGTATGCCACTGATACTCAACTTTGTAAATAAATAACATTGACATATATCATTACGTATCAAGCTAGTGCATGCTAACAATCAGTGTCATTTATTTATAGTATCACTAGAAGGCACGCCCAAGAAGAAGCATTGATGGGAAGATAGTGGAGGATGGGATCCACAATTGAAAAACCTCATGAGGGTAAGTGATAGATAGAGTCTCCACTCATTCCCTTATAAGGCACATCTACGAGAAAACCTTGATAAGAAGGTAATAGTGGATTGAGTTTACATTGAAAATACTCCATATTATCAAGTGGTTGATAAGGTCTCCACTCAAAATCTTAAAAGACTCACAAGCCTTTGCCGACACTAATTTGGTTGAGGGAGTTGCCCGTAAGAAGCTGTCGGTCACCAAAATCGAAATCCCGCCCGCTTCGGAAGGACGTTTTAATTTACATATAGATTTAAGTTTAGAAAAATATGAAATCAAACTGACCTCATATTTTTTATAGTTTAAATGAAAGAGCGATGTATCTCAAACTTTGTATCTGTCCTGAAGGATAAACGCAAGACTTGAAGATAAGACTCAATCAGATAAACTAAGAAATATATGACGTCCGTTTGGTCTGCGAAACCGTTTTATTTGCCGTCAAGTTCTCCTATTTAATATGAAAAATTAAATAGGTGAAAAATTAAATAGAATTAAATAGGATTTATATTAAACTGGATTCGGAAAAACTTCCGATAAGGGCAAACCTCTATAGTTAATTACATCTTAGATGACTGAAGTCACCTAAGAAAACTCTCGATAAAAATCAGGAAATATTATCTTCAAAAAGGTCAAAAGGATATGACTTTTCAACGAAGTTGGACAAAAAAGTGTGCAAAGGGGAATGGTTCAAACTTGGAACATTTATTATAGAATCCAAAGGAAGAAGAACTAGGGGATGCCACAAATCCGAAGGAGAACCTCGGTGACTTCCCAGTCTACCTTATGGTTTGGCTTCAGTTTCGAGGAAGAAATGTTCAAGTGTTTTATCCTGCCAATTTTATTTACTTAGGGCTTACATTCATGTGAAATGATCACACAAATAGCCTGGAAGATATGAGGATTTAGGTTGTGAAGGACGACAACCTTGGAATCCTAAGACGAGTTAGTGCTTAGAATGTACAGTAGAGCCGTACAAATGCCTAAAGATAAGTTAAGGATTTATGTTGTATAAACAAACAACCTCGAAATCCTGTGGATTGTTGTTAAAATCTTAGAAAAGAGATGCTGTTGTAGATCGTTGTCGTAGAATAGACATGTTGTAGACATGTTCTGCTGTTGAAGATGGCCGTGCTGCCCACAATGCTAGCTCCAAACTCCTTGTTGTAACGAGTTTAAGTTTTATAGGGTGTCAGATTATGATGTCAAATCAGACGGCCCTATGGTTGTAATCCTTTAAACATTTTATGAGAGGCATGTTGAAGTTGTACAGCGTATGGAACAACAGTAGAATGTGTAACACAGGACAACAATAGATTATGCAGTGAAAAAGAACAGTACAACATGCAGTGTAAAGAAAAGGTAAAAGGTATAGCAGGAAAGTGACTGCAAGAAAGTAACATGCTGTAAACACAAAGTAAACCTGTATACTTGGGAGATCCGCTGTTTCTTAGGTGTAGTTGATGCTACAAGTACAAATAGAACAGACTGAAATACATCATATAAACGAAAGCAAAAGAAGAAAAGAAAAGTCACCCGGAAAACTCGAGAAAGAACGGTAAATGACCCACGATGGAAAATTCGAGAAGAAAATTCTGGAAAATTCGAGAAAAATCAACGAATAATCCATGACGAAAAGCTCGAGAAAATTGACGAGTAACAATTCAAATAAAATCGTCAAAACCTCGGAAAAATCCCAGAGAAAAGATCACGAGTGCTTTGTTCAAAAATTTTGATAGAACATATAAAAAAGTTTGAAAAGAGGGGACCGCAAGCACTCGGGTAGGGCTAGGCTCAGAGATATATTTGTACTCAAGGGTCGTCGAAGGCTATTCGGTCACCCGGATGTATAAAGCCCGCCATTCAACTAGAAGGATGTCCTATTGAGCCTAATTCAGGAGGGTACTACTTGGCTTAAACGGGTGATCAACATGGGGACAACTGATGTTTAAAATGTATTTAAAATTTATATTTTCAGCATGCACATAGGTTTCAAACATGCAAAAAGTGGGGTGTATTAATTTTGTTTGTAGCGATTTTTTTTTTTGAAAAAGGTGTATCCGTTCTTATCAAATTTATTTTTATTAGTTTTGAAAAAGTGTAGTTGTCCACGAGTCGATCACACTGTCGGGCGTAGGACTGCTAACAACCTAAGAAGGTACGAGTCAACTCCCGCTAGTCTTATGTCGGTGAATGATATTACATCCTACGGTTCACCGGGTCTGTGGGGGTGTCCCGATGTCGTAGGATGGAATATCATTCCACCTACTACCGATGTGCCTTTGTCATCACTGCCCTAAGCTCCAAAACAAAATCGACCTAATTGCGATCTTGCTTAATGGTTTCACGTATAAAAAAATGCTGTACGTGGACACTTATGTATCAGACATAAACATAAAAAATCGAACCAAGAAGCAAGAAAAAAAAAGAATAAAAATGAGGTGAGAGAGAGGAGGCACTTATCCACCTAAAACACCGAAAAGACTGAGGATGAATCAGTTTTCAAAACTCATGACAAAAAGACTTGAAAAAGTAGGGCCCAAGGTCCTTGAATCAATCCAAATGGATGTCATTTTCTCGCTTTATTAGAATTGGATCAAACCAAGGAGGGTGTCATTTCCAAATCCTGTTTCGAACGAGTCGAAACGGGCCCGAACCGACCCGACGATCACCCACAAATGACCTCCCATGATATCCCCGACATCAGCGTCAATGCTCCAAATTATCTTCCATAGGCTCAATTTGACTCAACCGAATACTCTCCCAAATAGGACTTGGGAATCTTCCAAAATTGATAAATCGAAAAGGAAAATGACCTGGGAGAAACCACCACTAGCATTTCCAAACCCATATCAAAATTAAGGTTTCCCAACTCCCAAATTAACCAATAGCTTCATATATCAAATGAACATAGAACCTTCCAATAAAACCAAATAAATGCTCACGACCAGGGTCAGTAGAAGAGAGGAGGCAGCTACCAAGGCTTTTGGTCAAGACAGCCCAAAGAATAAAAGAGGCTCACGATCAAGGCAACCCAAGGCACAAAAAGGCTCACGACTAAGATAAGAAACAGGGCCAAAAGTGGCTCACTGCCAAGGCAACCCAAGACACAAAAAGACTCACGTCTAAGGTAAGAAACAGGGCCAAAAGAGGCTCACAGCCAAGGCAACCCAAATCAATTACATGAGGAACTTTGATATACATAAGAGAGTGCAAAACATAACCATCATTTTGAGATGACTAATTTAATCCACCAACAATCATCCAAGTAGTTCAAGTCCAACAAGAAGGACTAAATCCAATTAAGGAGCCTTCAGTATGTTCCACGAATAGGGATAGGAAGCAGCTCATGACAACCACCAAGCTTTTCTAGTAGGGACAAATATAAAGCACAAACATAGACTCTCGGGTAGGAACTAAAGCCAGTAAAACAACACCCAAACTACCTCTCGGGTAGGGGCTAAGGCAACCAAAAATCAAACCCAAACTACCTCTCAGGCAGGGGCAGAACGACTCAAAACCGAGCTTCCAACCAAAGTAAAACCGAGCCACAACTAAGGCTCAAACCCAGGCCACAATAAAGGCTAGAAAACATCTTCATGCCCTCAAAATATCAAAATATAGGGCTACCACATATTTCACACAAGAATATCTATGGAACTCTTCCAAATCAAAATAAATTTCCTCACAGTACGAGCTTTTAAGCCAAAAAATGATCAT